GGGGGGGGATTAAAGTGATACTCCATGTTGCTTCATGTTAAAGAAACTGGGAAACTGGGACAAGCTCTGGCTGGCTGAGCCACTCAGCTCAAGTCTTACCCTGACTCCCTAGATAAATGAGTAATGAAAGTGGCCAAGTTATGATTAAAGGGTGTAAGTCTCTAGAGAAACGGTGGTGATGCGTTGGTGGGAGAGTATAACAGGTAATGGTAACATTAATTGGCCACCTTAAAGAAACTCAAAGCTGACATTTTGAGATCTAGCCCTTTGTCAGAGCACATGATGAAGGGCTAACACTTGAATCGTCAGCTTTGAAACTATTTATGATGGCCAATTTAAGTTATCAACTCAGTTGATGATACTAAATTACAGAGTTATGATTATATATGAGTTTTTAATTTGACTGGAAGAGAGAGTGGCACAGACCTCTCTCCTGCTCTTATAGAGGACTGTAAAAACTTACCAATATCAAGGTCGTCTTCAACAATCAAGACTGTGTCATAGCCCATGTTATCAAATACTTGCCCCAAAGCCCACTTATAATGACGGCTTATTTTAAAGTAACCCATCATTCCACGCATGTTGGCCGGGACATCTCTTACATCTGACAGGTCTGGTTGTTGAATGAATGAGACCTGATTTCCGTATGATCTAATGACATTTGCTGTCGCAGCATCCCCACAATCTTGGCTTACAACAATGGGGAATTCTTTAACAGAAGGGCGATACTTTATTAAAAGATCTAGACAACGCTTCACTGTTGGTCTGTTGCACGCCATAACTAGCACTGCAGCCACAAATTCCTCAGCTTCTGTTGTAACTGGTAAAAGTAACTTTGACTTCAACAATGTTGCAGTTTTCTGTGGCTCTGCTTTTAACTGAACTTCAGCTGGTGTTTCCACTTGGAAGCCTGCATGAACCTCATTGTTGTTTTGTTCACGTATCTCAAGTCCAATATTATCGGATTTCACGGGTTTACTCTGCAATCTCTGAACAGCTTCAGCTAAATCTTTTAATTTGGAGTCCGACTCCTTTAAATTTTCAAGATAGCTATCCGATATTTCCTTCAATCTGGCAGCTTTCTCTAGCTCAGCAATCGAAGTCTTGTTGATGAAGCGATAGAGAAGCACGCAGTTTCCTAGCACAAATACACAAGCGGCAAGTATAATCCACCAGCCTTGTTTTGTTATAAATACCACTTTCATTGTAGCAAAGAGTCAGTGATTAAATAAGGAAAATGTGTCAAATTAAAACGCATTATTTTGGAGGGTAACTCTTCGAGACAAGGTTGTCTCAGGTCACTGACACGTAGCAACAACATATAGCGTGCGAAGCAAAGTCGATACATTATCGGAAGGTTTCGGAAATACTCGTGAATTCCGAATATGGTCCTTGCAAGCAAGCATCAGGCGTTCGAAATGGCGGTCTTGAAAGTTGCGGCGTTTCTAGGGATAGTCATAGCTCTTGTAGCGGTTTTGATTGCCTGGTACACAAGGGAGAATTTTGATCCTGAAACTCTGCGAGGCAAAAAGGTCGTGATTTGTGGAGCTTCGACTGGGATTGGAGAAGAACTCGCTTATCAATATGCCAAACTTGGAGCTCAACTTTTACTTGTTGCCAGGCGTGAAGAAGAACTTAAAAAAGTTGTGGCACGTTGCGGAGAATTAGGAGCACAGACGGCAAATTACGTCGTTGCTGATCTGTCTTCTTTGGAGGCTGCCAAGTATCTAGCTGAGGTAAGAAGCAATCAATTTTTAGTCTGGTCTGCTTGCTTTGCCAGATCAGCGAGATGGAACATTTGAACCAAGCCACCCCAACCCCACCCCCATCCCCTTTGAATGATATCAAAGAGCGCACTTTCTTTTTTTTTAGTTCCTAATCATTGCCGTTTAAGTCTCTGTCATTTTATTTAGGTAAATCTACGGAATGCAGGGCTACTTATTCACATCTCATTAACATCACAAGACATCCGTTTGTGATCTGCCCCATTATTCTATAGTTGCTCCTCAATTAGTGTGCCTATAGGTACAAGTATGCAAGGTGGCAGGTCCTAGAGACACATTAGAGGGACAGGTTGCAGTAACAATTTCTCTCATTTGATAAAAACATCGTGTGAATCTCTGTCTTTTTATTTGACTTTTTTCCCTGAAGGTAACCACACAAATTCATACCAGTTTGAATTTCTATGTGCATATAATCAAACTGAGAAATTGAGTAATAAAACTTGTTTTAGAATCATGAAACGCTTTACTCCTTAGTCTTGTTGCCTGACTTTAATTTGTTATCATAAACCCTTGTAAGATACCAGGAAATGAACTTATTGTTGTCTTTAATAGGAAACTAACAAGCTATTTGATGGACCTGATGTATTAATTCTCAACCATTTAAAGCCATTTTATGAATTATGGAACGAGAACAGCAGCCTTGAAAAAATTCCTCAGTACTTTGCTGTCAATACCATAAGTTATATCAATATTGCTACCTTACTGCTCCCTGGCCTTCGGAAGACCAATGGAAGCATACTTGTTGTGTCATCATTTGCTGGGGTTGTTCCTGTACCAAGAGTTTCAACTTATTGTGGAAACAAGCACGCACTGCATGGATTTTTTGACAGCTTGCGTCAAGATTTAGCTCTGCAAGGCCAGCATGGAATTTCTGTCACATTGTGTGTTTTAGGGTTAATCGAGACAAAAAATGCTCGCACTATGACCAAAGGCCTTCCTGTGGACAAAGGTATAAAGAGAGAACCTGTGGATGAATGTGCTCTTTCCATGATCAAAGGAGCTGCTTTGAGAAAACGGCAAATATATTTCCCATGGTATTTAAGTTTTGTTGAAACAGTACATTTCTTTTTCCCAAGTTTTGTTGAGAGTGTAATTCAAGTTGCTACCAATGAAAAACCAATGGTGGATATTTGGGAATGGTGAGATTTTATTGCCATAGGCTCCATGTTGTAGAGCAGAGCCAAAATAAATAGAGCTCTTCTTGACATTGTATTCTTTATTTATGGTTATTTCTTGTAATTGAGATAGAGGCTTGTGAAAACACATTTTCATTATTTTCTTTGTGTGTGTGTGTGTGTGTGCTGTGTAGATATGACCATGAATAACTGACATTTAATATATTGAAAGGTTCTGCTGGGACCCAGAATAAAACCTGGAGTGACTTTTGATGCAAAATAAAATTATCTCTGTGTTTCACCAGAGAAAAAACAAAGAGGTCAGTTGAGATAAACAGGTCAGTTCGGAAGGTGGTTAGCTTTTTGTCAGGGGTCAGTCAAGGCTTCAAGAGAGTAGTGTGTATCATTGTCACCCTGGACCAATTTTGTAACACAATATGTAAATGTAAATTATGCACAAACATTTGTATTAAAAAGATGAAGTGAACTGTTTGGTGAACAAAATTACATCAATTTTTCTTCAAGAAACCTTGAATAACAACTGGTCATAATTCTATGTCAGTTTTTCAGTCCACGGTAACTAGCCATTGCAGTTTCTGCAAAATTTTCTTTCAAGCATAGCTATAGAATGATGTTTAAAGATATTCCTGGGTGTGCCTTGTCATGGTATGGCATGTCAGGACTGCTTCATAAACAAAATATGATGTAACCATTTACAACAATGGTGGAGATTGTGTCAAGCTGTTGATTGTTAGTTCTCTCCTCTTGCTGCCACACAGTTCCTTGTAAATTTTAGTAGTGAGAATTTGGTGTAAGATCAAGATAAAAACTTCTGCTTGATGGATTTTAGTATTCTCACCAACCATTTTCTGGAAAACATTCAGATATCATAGGAAGAAGCTACATGTTGGTCACTTCTGGGAGTTGAAGGGTTTAGTGGTGGTTCAAGTTAGCTGATAGTAAATGTCTAGGGGAAAAAAATGGTATCAAGGGAAATGTGATCTTGTTTGAGTTACCCCAGGGTTGGAGTAAACCAAGTTTGATTCAGTAGGGTTCTACTGATAATCACAGAAAATGTCAACATGTGATAAAAACATTGATGACACACTTAGCTGCCCCTCACCTGCCCCTTTTTAGTTCTTACCACTTTCTGACATCATTTGTGACCTATTACAGAACAGACCCACAGAAATAGTAAGTAAATAAGTGAGTAAATAATAACAAAATTGAAAAAAATCAAATCCAAAAAAACCTTTAGTAAATTTAAATGACTTTGTTAAATCAAGGTAACTTCTACCTGATAAGTTTGAGTATTTTCTTTACACATTTGCTGGATAATGTATAGATATTTTAGAGAGAGGTTATATGTCAATCACCTCTAGGACAGAGAATGGTTTGAACCTGGGAGTAACTTGATTGTGTGGTCTGATGGCCCATGTGAGAGTGGTTCTGAGAGGGAATGTTGTCATAAGTGGTAACTGATGTTCCAACAACCTGAGTAGAAGTTGTTTTCAGAGTCAAGTGAAAAGTTGTTGTCAGTCGAGTGCACTAAGTTCAGTTCATGTTAGCTGATTGAGATGCCATAGGATAGTGAGTGTTTCATCAAATGAAGTCATCATTGTCATTGTTTTTCGAAAAAATACAGTTGAGGTATTTGTTCTCATGAGATAAGCTGTCTGTTGTGTTGCATACAAGTTGTGCTTGTTGTGTTAGAGTCCTGATAGTTGTGGCTTTGTACAATGTCAGGTGGAAGGAAGACTTGTCAATAATTTGTAGTCTTCAGTGAGTTGTGGTCACATCTTACCAGGCTAGCCAATTTTCACTTCTAGGACTAAAGAGTTAACTAATTACTCACTATATAGAGGTAAAGTGTTAACAATAGATGCTGCACCATTTACTGGAACGAGATTTATCCAGTTATTAGCATTTAAACCCACCCTTTCCACTACCAGGGCCAAGATAATTTCTAGCAACTAGAAACTTTGGTTACATATTCAGGGCTCTCGATAGAACTCAGTGCATGTTAGAGTTTAGAAAGCCATCCTTCAGTATGGAGAAAGTGCCTACTACAACCACCTGCTTCAGCTTCTAAAAATATGCACAAGGAATACTTTACCACTTTTGTATTAGTATTTTTAACCTTTTGCCTTCAAAGATTGATAAGTAATTCTCCCCTCTTGCTTCTAAAAAGTTCCTCATAAAGCGGTAAGGAGAATTTTGCTTCATCAAGATAATTCATTAAATGATAAAGTTTATCTATTCTCTACCTCCAATGCTGGATGGAGTTATGGAATTGTGAGAAAATACTGGCACATGTCAATCACCTTTGGGTTCACAAGGTAAACACTGTTATTTTTGACAGTGGACCATTTTGATAAGATATTTAAATCATATTTTCATCATCTTCATCTCCAAACAGTAACGGCTGGTTACCTTCACCAGGTCTGTGACCTCTAGCCATATGTCGGCGATCCCTTCTTATCATTAAAACAGCATACATGCAGACTGTCAAAGCAATAGCTGTACCTATAACTATGGCAATAACTTCTCCAGTTGTGAGCCAGTGGTCATTTGAGTGCGAAGGATTTGGCGCAACTTTCAGCACGTGTGTAATGCCACTGAGTGAGCCATTGTTTGGCAAAGGATCTATACCTAGTAAATGGCAAATCAATGGATAGATGTCAACCATCTCGATAGGACCACTTTTATAATCTTGCTTGAAAGCTGGGCCTTGTGCCAAGAAGAAAGGGTGCATGGTTGGTAAGGATGGGTGCCAGCCATGAGTTCCTTTTGTGACTACCTTGCGGGAATGGTTGAAGGGTCCCACTGTTGCCAACCAACCTTCTTCCAAGATGACATTAATTTCAGCTACAAACCTACTGTGTTTGAAATGAAGTTCTTCCGGAAGTTCCTCTTTTCTGTATACATTAAAGTGCGATTTCTGTTTCTCTGCCTTCTTTAAACTATCATACGCTCCTGTTACATTGGTGGTATTGAATGAAAAGTAAGCCCAACCTGGAATCCATAAGGAATAATCTGGAGGTAAAAATTCATGCAAGTCCAAGACTGTGCTTGAATTGTACATAGCAGTGCCGTGATCAGCTGTTATTATCAAATTAACTGCATCCGTTAAATTTGCTTTGTGTAATTCTTGCAAGAGATAACCCGTAATTTCGTCGTCTCTTCCAATCTCTTCTGTAACATTTACCGAGTCAGGGCCACAGCAATGGCCAGCTTCGTCCGGTTCCTCAAAGTATAAAGTGATAAAGGACGGTGGGTCTGGATCTTTCAACCATTTTAAAACCAAATCAACACGCCACTTCCAAGGAGAAATCGTTTCGTTTTCACGAGGGGCAAAAGGTCTTCCAAATCCAAATTCACTCGTGGTAAAAGAAGGTTTTTGGCCTTTGTATTCCACATCATAGCCTGGCCAAAAACACATACCACTTCTATGTCCTTGTTTTTCGCTTGTCACCCAAAGAGGTTCGGCAAATTTGTCCCACCATTCGGAACTGTTCGTGTTCATGTTAAAAGATTTGTTTGCAATCGCGTCGTAAAACGAGTTCGATATTATTCCGTGGCTTTCAGGGTAAAGCCCTGTGACGATAGTGTAGTGATTGGGAAAAGTTACCGTTGGAAACACGTTCCTAACATATTCAGCCCGCACCCCTTGTTTCATGATAGAGGAGAAGTTCTTCGTGGCAGTTCGATTCATGTCTAGGTAATCCCACCGAAACCCATCAAAGGAGACCAAAATAACAGTTTCCTTTCGCATAGAATAACCGCAATTGAACGAATAAAAGTACGAAACGAAAAAGAAAATTTTCAAATTTACCATTTTGGTTAAAATATAACAAGGAGAGAAGCGAAAAATAATTAAAAAGAGCAAATATAGTCCACCTGTCAAGGGTATTCCTAACGGGCAATTAGTGAGTATATAATCATTGGCTGCATGATCACGTGACAAATTCGGGAATCTGGGGACGAGCCGATTCGAAGTTCTTTCCACGTGCAGATTGTGTTCTTGTATTTTTATGTTTGTAGCCGTGTTAGGAAAATAATCTTACTATTTTAACCATGTTAGTACTTTTCGAAACGCCAGCAGGCTATGCGATCTTTAAGGTAAGTGCCTTGCCTCTATATAGCGAAATGATTTTCTTTTTTACAGCGAAATCTGGCTCGCTTTGCAGCCGAAAACCTTTGAGTTCTTCATTCCAAACTTAAACCAAGTTCGGCTCGAATCGTGCTGAAATCTTGAACTTTGCTTCTTCAGCTCCTCGATGAGAAGAAACTACACAAAATCGATAACCTGTACAAGGATTTTGAAACACCAGATGCCGCTAGCAAAGTGTAAGTACCGTCTTTATATCTAATGATCTACGTATCTCTTTCAATCGATCTACGTACTAAGTTTAGTTGCAATTTTAAACCTTCTGATATAAGTTGATTTGTATTTCAGGGTTAAATTGAAGCATTTTGAAAAGTTCAATGACACAACAGAAGCCTTGGCAGGTTAGCAGACTGCGTAGAAAATATAATGTTTGCAATAGCATTATTATATTTTGACTGCTCAATTAACCCCAACTCCCAGAAGTGATGAACATGTAACTTCTCCCTATAATATTCATACATTATCCAACAAACAGGTCTTGAGAATATTCAGACTTATGGAGTAGTAGTTGTTATCTTGATCTAACACTAAATCCATGTAACTAATTTACTAGGAAATGAGTAGCAGCTAGAGGGGAGAAATAACAATCAGATCTTTGGAGTTAAAGGGTTAATTGCCATTTATAATTATGGTAATTGGGGTTGTCAGTAAATTAAATTTAGGCTGTTATACGGTGAGCTTGTCAAGCGAGCCAGCTAATCTGGAGGGTATAGCAAATCCTGATGCATTTTATCATTGTGTACAGGATGCTATTTCAATCATTTATATTAAAACTAATTCTCTATGTAGAATGGCAAAACTTTACTATGTATTTGTCTGTATAACTGTGTTTCAAGGGGTATGGCTAAATTTTTTCCAAGGGGGTCTAGGCCAGTATTAAGGATACGTAACAGATCATAATGCTGACATCTGAATTTTGTTTTACTCATTGACATTTGTTTTTTTTTTGGATAAGCAGTGAGCCTTGTGGTATGGCTAAGGCCTGCCAAAGGCTAGCTGCTAAACCCACTGAACATGGGTTAATAACTGGGCAACTTTCAATCAAACTTTAGGTACCAAAAGTTTTTACTTCTTACCATGGTAACTAAAATGGTTGTAGCTTGGAGCTGTGGTACCAAACCAAAGATTATGATATAATGACCAATGGAATGGTTGATCAGGAGTCTGATGCATTGACCATGGGGTTACTGTGTCTTCAAACCTTAACCCTTTACGCCCTTATATCAGTATGCATATTCTCCATACTGTTCTCTAAACATTTCTTTAGATGCCAACATGGAGAATTTGGCTTATAATCACAAGCTTCTTGCATCTGTGATCAGCTCCTTCATTCTCCTGACCTTAATGTTTGATTCAGGGGTGATATGGTAAGGAGAAATTAGATGCCAGTCACTCTTAGGGGTAAAAGAGTTAAAAGTTAACGTTGATTTATGTTTCTTTTCATTTATGTTTTTAGCTGCAACTGCTGCAGTAGAGGGGAAGATGAGCAAGAGTCTTAAAAAAGTTTTAAAGAAAATTGTTGCCAAAGACATTCACCAAGAATTGGCTGTGGCTGATGCTAAGCTGGGAGGTGTCATTAAGGTGAGAAACCTTTTTTAATGATGTACAATTTTTTCTCTCAAGTTTTGAGTGGTGTTTTAAAAACGAATTGTGTTTCCCTGTAATTCTTCTAATGTAAAAAATGTAGGTGCAGTGGTCATTTTTTAAAGAGTACAAGTTTTCAAGTTTATCTGCCTGCTCAGTATATTTTTGTACTGGCCAGATTTTCAGAATCCCTTCAATTCAAGGAATTTATAAGTTTCCTCTTTTCTGAGCATCAGGTCATCTGTGGTTCACGTAGAATTAACCCTTCAAACCCTAAGAGTGACCAGCATCTTATTTCTCCTTACAATATCACTACTGAATCACACATTAAAGTCATGGGAATAAGGGAAATGATCATCAACTAAAGAAACTCTTGATTGTTAGACAAATTCTCCTTGTCAGCAACTTAGTAAATGTACAGAGAACAGTATGGAGAATATGAATACTGATGTTAGGGTGTAAAGGGTTAAGATTTACTAATTAGTAAGAATTTTTTCCATGTCTTTTCGTTCTTTAGGAGAAGCTTAGCTTGAATTGTGTCTCCAGCTCAGCAGTTCAAGAGCTGATGCGAGGAATCAGGTTACAGCTTGAAAGTCTTATCACAGGTATTCAACAAATACACACCATTTCTTCAACAGCTGCATACTTACCCATAAAATTTGCATACATTAATGTATTCAAACCAATACATTAATATTGTAATTGTAAAGTACTCTTTGTGATCTGCTCATAATGACAACCTTGGTGAACCATTTGCAAAGAAGCATTTGCTCGAAAATATGTTGATATTTTGAGGAGAAATTCCAAGTTGGTCATTCCAGAGAGTGAAAGGGTTAATTCCTTAAATTTCCTTTTCAACATTTTAGGTCTTCCTAATAAAGAAATGAGTGCTATGGCCTTGGGATTAGCACACAGGTTTGGTTTTTTTTAATTGAATTCTCCTTTTTAATATCCATGTCTGCAGCTTTTATTTTTTTTATTTTTTTTTGATTGAAAAACCAGTCATCCTTTTTTTTGTTTACTCTTCTTAACAAAGTTCTGTTATCTGATATAGCTTGTCACGTTATAAGCTCAAGTTCAGTCCAGACAAAATTGACACCATGATTGTCCAGGCGATATCTTTACTGGATGACCTTGACAAGGAACTGAACAACTATGTGATGCGTTGCCGTGAGTGGTATGGCTGGCATTTTCCTGAACTGGGCAAGATTGTCACAGACAACCTAGCCTATGCAAAAACTGTCAAGACTATGGGTAAGGGTTACTATGACATAATGTTGTTTTTTTACTGCATTGGAACAAGGCACACAGGACTTTGGTTTTTTTTTCTTTCATTTTTGTGCCTTGGAAACCATGCTTACCTTATTCAGGGGAGAAGTGAGGGATTTTGTTTGGCCTTAGAGGGTGTGTGTTATACAGGATGTGGTCTTTAAGATCTTGATTTGTAAGCCTTAAGGGTAATTACAGCAAATTGCAAGAGAAGTCATGTGATTACTTGTTAATAATGTACATGAAAAAACATCACAGTAAGTTAAGATAGGCAAAATTTGAAAGTGAGTGTGCACTATTTGTATTTACACTTGCGTTACAACTTGGCACATGTGTTACATGAGAATGTACTGGTTTTCAGCCAATCAGAAGTGTGTATTTTTTTCATGTACATTGTTATGTTTGGACAGCATAATTATTATATTTCTGGACCAGATGTCTGGAATAGAGTGTGTATGTTATTAGTGCACTTACCACCAATTACCCACCAATTTTGTTTTTTTTTTATAACAAGTTTTATGTCTATGTCAATGTGCCAAAACCCTCATGAATTTTGATGAGAAGTGAGAAATTTTAGTCCTTCTTAGCAAGTTGAGATTTCAGCCAAAGTAATGGAAGGAAAATTTCAGCCCAGCTATCAAAATGGAAAAGGTGCAGTCTTTTGCAATAGTTTTCTCCCAGAAACCGGAGTGTAGTGTGCCTTTGGGAAGATTTCTATCCCTCTTTCACAAAGATCTCATGCTCTTGTTAACCAGCTTAACTTGTCTTCTAATATTTACACATAAGAATTTTTACAGAGGAGAGTTTGCTTAGGCAGTATTTCAAAAATCAGCCCAGGCTGGTTGACAAGGAAAAGGCCAATTATTTAAAAATAATTATATTAAGCTTTGGATACCTTTGGATTTAATTTGTGTTATGTTCATGATCATTGTTGTTTCATGTTTTCCAGGCACTCGTTTAAATGCTGATAAAACTGATTTGTCTGAGATTCTGCCTGAGGAAGTTGAGGAGGAAGTCAAAGCTGCTGCAGAGATCTCCATGGGAACTGAGGTAGGATTGTACTGCTTGGATTTTCTACCATTTCAAATATAGGACTCTGCTTCTTTTGCATGGAATGCCCAGTATCTTTGCTCTGTTTACATGAAACTTAACAACCCTGCTTGAATTGTAACCTTTTAACATTATTGATAGTTTTACCAGCTTTCATTGCTGGTTTACCAAATCCAAAACAATATTTGCTTGCTGAGCTGTCACACATTTATGCAACCACACCTTAGCCATGCAGAAATTTAGATGGTGTTCACATTGTGCTGGTTATATTTTTCACTGACCTGCCTGAAATTTCATATTCTGGTTTGGTATCCAAATGTTTTAACAGCTAGGCATCCAAATTTTGGTATGGTCATCATGGTTCACAATGGAATGCTTAAATGCACAAATATTCAACAAGAATTACAGAACTGAATTTGCTTACTACCAAGTGAGAGTAGCCTGAGTTGTGTATGAAGGTTTTTTAACACAAAAAAATCAATTGCTAAATTTTGTGAGCTGATGTTGTGATTGTGTTTCCTTCTGCTCTAGATCTCTGAGGAGGACATGAATAATATCATTTACCTCTGTGATCAGGTATTACATGAAATCTAGGCATGTTTTCAAACCAACAGCTTACCTGAAAAAATTCTCCATTCTATGAGTTGCTTCATGAACACTTTTCATTGCAATTTTCAGATCATTGAAATGACTGATTACCGTGCTCAGCTATATGATTACCTCAAGAATCGAATGACAGCTATTGCCCCAAACCTGACTGTGCTTGTTGGAGAGCTTGTTGGTGCCAGACTAATTGCACATGCAGGTGAATTGAAATAATTGTTTTTGTCATTTGCAACAGGGGTAAGAGGTCTGGAGTCCTTCTGAAGCATCTTTGACATTTAAGGGCATGTGGTACTGTGCTCAGTAATCACTGACACTTAGAAAACCATGAACACCAAAATGATATTTGGAAATTTTTGTTCATTGTTTGAGAAAATAAATCAGGCAAAGGAAAATGAAACATGAATGATATTTAGTTTGTGGTTTTGATGTTTGGTGGCCTGTGAGGAGCTTTTTTAATACATAATTCACCTTTTGGAATCTAATCAAAATATTTATCTTACTGTAACTGTTTGCGACCAAGATAAAAATCACTTGCACCTTCATTCCACCTCCTTTCACATGCATGTCATGACAATAAGTGACAGCTGTGATTCTTTCAGATTTATATTTTTTATGTAATACATGTTGCCGCTTATACAAAATTGGATCACTGTTTTACAGGGTCACTTCTAAATTTAGCCAAGCATCCATCGTCAACAGTTCAAATCTTGGGTGCAGAGAAGGCATTGTTCAGGTTAGTAATGAGCACAGGGGAGCAGCAAGGGATTTTGTGTGGCATTAAAGGATATATGTCAAACAGGATGTGGTTTTTAAGGTCCTGGGTCTTAAAAGGGTGTATTATTTGTAAGGGCAATAACATGACTTTGAGTGCACATCTATCAAAGGAGAACTTCTATCTGTTAACCCTTTACACCCTAACATCATTATGCATATTCTCTATACTGTTCTCCATACATTTCCAACAGGCTGATAAGGAGAATTTGTTTGACAATCAAGAGCTGCTTTAGTTGGTGATCATCTCCTCTATTCTCATGACTTTTGTGTTTGATTCAGGGGTGATATACTAAGGAGAAATTAGATGCTTGTCATTTTTAGGGGCTAAAGGTTTAAGAGAAAAAAAAAAAGAAAGAAAGAAAGCCTGGTCCAGAATCTCATAATACTATAGTTCCAATGTTTGTTTTGTTTTTTTTTTGTTTAATCTTTGTTTTTTTTTGTTTTGTTTTAAACAGAGCACTAAAAACAAAACGTGATACTCCCAAATACGGTCTGATCTTCCATGCGTCGCTTGTGGGCCAAACAAATCCAAAACACAAAGGAAAGGTTTGTGAATATTTGTGAAAATAAAGACCTATTTCCTTTCATGTAAATTTGATTACGATCACGAGGCCTTCACGGAAAACCTGTTCGGGGGATGCGGGGGCTGGGGGGGTGGGGGGGTGGAGGAGATACTCACCCTACTCCACCCAGATTTCGAAACCCTTTCATCTGTTGGTACGTTCTTCAGCACGCAGAATTGTTTTGTAAAATGAGGGCCAGCAAAACACCGTTTCTAGAGAGATTCATGCTCGTATGGTCGCGTACTTACGGTTGTCATGATTTTTTCCACTTAGATAGTTATCCGAATGTCTTATTTTTTTTGTCTTTTACTGTGACAGATTTCAAGAATGCTAGCGGCCAAGGTTTCCCTTGCAGCACGAGTCGATGCCCTGGGAGAAGACAGTGGAACGGCCATGGGGGTTGAAAACAGAGCAAAACTTGAAATGAGGTTGAAGGCACTTGAAGAGAATCAGGTAATAAACCGGTTTCCTATTTTCCTGCGTTTGATAGACATTGCATGGCTTACCGCGTTTTTCAACCGCTATTGGAGATCATTTGGACATTTAGTTTAAAGGCTTACCTTCTAAAGGCTTCCAAATGTCATATCGCATGGTTACAAGTCCGACTTCTGTTAAGAATATTCCGAATTTTTTTCCAGCTTAGGACCACAAATATTTTGGTATAAATCCATGCTTCCGCGTTGTGTTAAATTCTGGGAGAGGAATTCCCTTCCTTTTTTTATGGGTGTTCGGATCGTTTGAAGCTGACAGAAACTCAAGAAAATCAATTTCCATATAACTAAATGAATGATATTCTCTCTTTAGCTGAGAAGAATCAGTGGTACTGGCAAGGCCAAAGCAAGAGTAGACAAGTACGAAAACAAAAGGTACTAATTGCAACCAATTAATTAATTTATCTTCCCTCATGTTATTCAAGAAGCACGAGGTGAACCCGAAAGTTCATGGACCTCGCGCGTGATTCGTAAATTCTGCGTACTCCATTTTCCCTCGCGCGACTAACACGCAAATCTTGCACGCACGTGACTTCTTAAATTTTTGTCGCAAGTCTTATTTCAAATGTTCATTTATAATCGCTTTTTTTTTTCTTCCTCAGCGTTGTAATGTCGTACAATCCGGCTACTGACTCGACCATCGCCACACCAGGAAAGAAACGGAAGAGATCAGAAGAAAATGGAGATTCGACACCAGGCGACAGCGTCCCAGTTACGCCGAGCACGCCTGTAACAGAAGAAGGTGTGTGGTTCGATTCTTTAAAGTATCTTGTTTGGTGTAGATAACTGGGGACAGTAAATTTTTTTACTCCGTTCAAGCTATTGTTAGCACAAAGTTCGGCTTTCAAGTGAAAGCTATCCTGAATTAAGGTTGTGCTCGTCAGAATATTAGACAAGGAGCGCTAACCTAGGACATACTGAGTGATATTTGTGTCTATAAAACTTGAATAGGGGGTTGGGACTCAAATACACCCAAGGGCTTCCCCCCCCTCCCCCTCTTGTTAGCTGTGCTATGAGAATAATGGGTATTACTTGCTTTTATGCTAAAAATTATTTAACCTTGCTAACTGATGATATTCGTGTTGCCTTCACGCAGTTGACGGCGAGACGCCGGCTAAAAAGTCAAAGAAAGAAAAGAAAAAAAAGAAGAAGAAGAACGAAGAATCTAAAGATGAAGACGATGAAGAACAATTAGAGACCCCCGCGGCTGTGGTGAGAACTAAGTCTCTCGAATGGTGTAGAAATAATCTTGTTTCGGAGTTGAAAGAATTTTTTT